AGTATTTTAGTCTAAATAACCCAAAATGTGATGTCCACATATGTGGACGCCAGGTCCTAGGAGGTTAAACCTTGAGCTACATATTCTTTCTTTTAAAAAGTCTTCCATAAAAAATCATTGAATTTTTGTCAGTAATATAAAAGTGTTTATTCTTTTACATTTCGTGTTACGTAAAGTTACGTATCAGCTTTTCATTATTGAGCAGATCGAGCTGCTTAACAACTCTCGCTATCTTAAGAAGCCATTTTTCAGTTGTTTCTTTAGCCCACGTTGTCCTTTTTCTTTATCCAATTTTCTGGACACTGAGTTTTATAACACGAGTAAGCATAGGTCAGTAAAACTCCCTGTGGAAACGATTACACCATAACTGTGGCATTTCAACTCTCTGCACTTCACATTTCCAAGCTAATAAAGTCCATCTGAATTTATATGGCTTGAGGGAAAATGCAGAAAAGGTGGGCAGAAATAAAACGTTATCACTGGACGCTTCCTATTTATATGAAGGGGATAAATAGCATAAATAGAAATAAAAATAAAAAATAAAAATACAAGTGAATTGCACATTTCAAGTATTGAGGTCTATTGCACCGTTGACTATTAACAAAAAGTATTGCACAGGTTAGGTGTTGTCGGTGGAGTTTATTGGACCATTTAGCTTATTTATTCTCTGTACAATCTCTTAAAGTTTTCAGAAAACATTTTAACAATGAAGTAATTTTTGGAAATGTTCCTAGATGTTCGTTTTACCAGTCTGTTAAACAGAAATTTGAATTTAGACTAATCCAACTGTTCTTAAGAGTCTGACTGGGAGTAATTTTAGCAGTAGTATAGCTATGGCAGTGCTTGGTATCTGCCCAAGAGGGGATTTTTCTTGGTAGCTTTTGCCCTGACAATAGAAATGACATTTAGCATCACAATAACATTCACAACAAGATGGAGAAAATCATGATTGCATCTTTGTGTTTGGTCCGGTTGAGTGTCAGTGAGAAGACTTATTCACCTTGTAGTTGGCAGTGTCGTCCGCCTGGTGCTACAGTAGATGTGGCACAGATGGAAGAGCAGAGAGTGGTGCGACTCCTGTAATCATTTGCCTTTGTTTTCTTACTGAATCCGTTTGCTCTTTGTAGGTATGAAAAGTACAGAAAATCACATATTTAATTACATGTATGTTTTAAAAAAGGTGGACTTCATCACTGATCCGTTCCCGTGGTTCTTTAATTTTTAGAGCAAACTATTGCTTGCACAGCTGATGTTTATGTAGATTTATTTTTATTGCGCTGCAACAACATATGCTTACATGTAGACCAGTGTTTCCCGTCACTGTTGGTGTGCCGTGAAAGATTATCTGGTTCCACCTGATTAGCACTTTAAGCGACCTGCTTGAGTAACGGGCAGAACAATTACATTCTCTTCCACCAGAGGACAGTGCAACTTCTTGCTCCAATTAAATGGGCTGCGAACTGCCAGTAAAGCAGAAGAAGACAAAGAAGAAATTACATAATCATGCTGCAAGTGGGACAATTCAGCATAGCAATCGATAAATATTTGAAAAGAATATGCAGTATTCTGTTTGTGATATTTTTGTTTGTTGGTGTGCCGTGTGATTTTTCTAATGTGAAATACGTGCCGTGGCTCCAAAAGGTTGGGAAACACTGATCTAGATTAATCATCATACACTGCCCAGCCAAAGCAAAGGTCAAAATAATTGCACACATGTTGTGGCATCACTTTGATCAGCTCTCAGTATTTATTTTCATCCAAACTTGCATTAATATTTCATAAAAGATCTCGTATTGATGCAGAGTTGGACTGCTGCTTAAATTCTTTCTAGCACATCCCACACAGTCTCAGTGGGGTTGAGCTCTGGATGCAGTGGTGGTCAATCAGTGCGTGAAAATTCCGTCTCATGGGTCCTGAATCGCTCTTTCACAGTCTAAGCCCATCGAATGCCGGCATTGTTATCTTGGAATATACCCATGCCTCAAGGAGAGAAATAAAATCAATTGATGGAAAAACCTGAACATTCAGTATAGTCGGTTAGTCAGCTACTCATTTTTTAGCACATCTTGCTGAACCGATCCTGACCATCCAAAGATCATAACACTGCTCCTGCAGGCATGTACAGCAGGCATCAGAAATGATGGGTGCAGCACTTCATCCACCTCTCTCCTCACCCTGATGCCCCCCATCACTCCGAAAAAGGACAAATCTGGAGTCATCAGACCACTGGGGATAGGGCTCCATTGATCCCTATTTAATTTAAACCCTTCTCCCTCATTGCTCCACAATGATAAGTGCATTTTTTGATAGTACATTTCTCCACAGTCCATATTGTAGAGTAATATAGCAGGTCAGAACAAAACTAAAAGAGCTTTTCTTCCCAGTTTCAACTCTTCTATTGCATAATTAGATCATATTACACTAAACCTTTTTAATACAGATTAAAGGAGTTTAGGAATGTAACAGCTGTAATTGTTAAAAACTATTCTATTGTATTGTTTTACTAAACGAAAAACAAATAAAGCAGGAAGGAATTTTAAAGAACAAATGAGTGTGATTTATGACTTTGCCAGCTCTTATCTTTGTGAGATAGGTTGCCTTAATTCACATAGAAAACTGAAGTTGTTTTCACTGAGTGCTTCAGATGATCCACTTGTGATTGAGAGTAATTAGTGAAAAAAAAAAGACCAGCCAACCGCCCAGGAAAATGTATTGTTTGTTTTTTGGGGACAGAAGTTTTTGTATTTCTGTCCCCCTGTCCCTCGTCCTGCAGAAAACTAGATTTCTCCCACTATGCAAACTTCAAAGTATGTAATACACCGACTGTGGTAATGTTTTAAACATTAGGTCGTTAATCTGTCAGCTAAAAAAATATTACCATCTTGTTGAAATTTGGTTTTTTTTCTCCCACTCATCTGACAAGGGATTGTTGCAGTTTGAGTCATGGCACAAGTAGAGCTGATTGGGAACAAGATATGTTGAGCAAAGGTACTTTACTCTTTGGTCTTTAATGATCCTGACACTGTTTTGTTTTTTTCTGTAGGTTTCTGATGGATGGACCCGAATCGAGCTCAGAGAGTGAAATGGAAGTGGACGACGAGAGCGAAGAGGAAATGAACACAAAGGTAAATTTGTTTTTTTAAGTGAGCCTATAAATATAATCGAATGTCAGGTTTAAAGCTCCCTGCTGCTTTGCAGACGCCGCAGAAGAAGGAGAAACAAGTCACGGCCAAAAAGACGCCAGAGAAGAAGGAGGAAGATGATGAGTATGCTGGCTCCACTGATGTGGATGAACCAGGTTTGGCATCAAGCGCTTTTTAATGTGACTGAACTTTACCTGACATTTCTGCCAGCATCAGTATTTCGGCTTAACTTTCTTTAAGGCTGTTATAGGGATAAAAGTCGAGCACATCATTGCAGAAACATCTACAAAATGAAAGCAATGTAAAACCTTTTTTAATGTTATTCAGCTGACTTAGAACCAAGGTTTGCCCAAGACAAATAGACTGAAGGAAATGACGGGATGGGGATGGTCGGTTCAATGATCAGGTGAAATGGACGAAATTGAAAAATGACAGCCAAGTTAAACAGGCAATTACAGTTTGAATCAAGTGCCAGAAATAGGAACAAAAACCAAAAACAAGCAAAAAGGAAAAAGAAAGTATTCTCTTCCAACATTAGACCGTCATGCACAGACCTGTGTCAGTGTATCTTTGAGTCTGCTTATCGGGTAATATCATTTACAGCCATGTTTCCTCATCTGTTGTATAAGATTTCAGTAAAAACACAATAACAATTTTTTTTCTTTAAAAATTTAGCAGCTAAGATTTTGAATATATTACATCAGGATCCCCCTGCATGACCTTTTGATCTACACAAACTTATCAGAGGTCTTACTGAGACCTGCTCTGTGAGAATCAATCACAGTGAAGGAAACTACAAACCTAAAGGTCTGGAACCCTAAATTTAAAGCATACTTGTTAATTAAATTCATTTTAATGAATAAACAAGTAAACCTTCATTTGTATATCTGCATTGAAAAGATCTGGGAGCTGAGACTCATGGAAAATGATTCATTCTGTTTCAAATAACTAGAGATGGAGAAGAGGGTCACACGTGAGCTGAAGAGGACAGAATGGATAGAGAGGAGGCCAGGGGACAATTTGAGAGCCCAGGGATTAGACAAAAGGGACGGCCTTTATAAAGCACATGGAAATGGATGAGATGGCAGCACTGCCATTTTAAAAAATAAATAAATAAATAAAAAGAACAGGAACAACATACTTACTGTAGATGCAATTTGAGGTGGGGGGGAAAAAAAGAACAGGGGTAAAATGTAATCACCATAAAGGGACTTGAGCATGAATCTCATTTCTATGTTAATACGAGAGCCAGAAGTAAAGTGCTGAGGTGCATCAGAGAGGACAGACAGCAAGGGCTGACCCACCGAACACGTACATGATGACAGACAGCTTTTTAATTAGACCACCTTCTCCTTTTCCCGTCAACAACACAGGATTATACGGTGGCGGCAGATGTTGCAGGCAAGTTTACATCTACTCAAACTCTAATGTGCAAATTAAAGGAAAAACCTGATCTGATGGGATCTGATGGCTTGTGCTGTCAGGGGGGGGCGGCGTCACTTGGTCCACTTAACCTCACAGATTTGTTCTCAGATGACCTTTATTCTGCGGTGGCACAGAGAGTCGATAAATGGCTAAAAATGATGGAAATCCCATGCTGTGGCTTTTGCGAGTGTTAGACGGCTTTCCGCCCAGTCATCACCAAACACCAAATGAGAAAATATCTTTTCGAAGAATGGCGCTTCATCGTTCCAGCGGGGTGCAAGAGAACTGAAAAATTGATGCTGTCAAAGTTTTTTTGGCAGAAATGGCTACTCGCTATTTGGAACTCGGGTACTCATTAAAAAGCAGATTCGCCTGGTGTGTTTTTTCGCTCCCATCTGTGCTCGATGAGAATTGTAGAAAACATAATGGCAGCATAACAATCTCAATCTCCAGGTGACCAGAATTTAAATTTTTTCATTAGTTTAAGATTAGGGTCATAGAGCGGTCACAGTATTTTGTGTTGTCGGTGAACTCAGTGAAGGCAAAATTGTGTTAAATACAAAACTCGTTACCAACATTTTCAGGCAAACCTGGCGAGTTTAATCACACTTATTAAAAAAAAATGTCTCATTCTCCCAGGAGGCGATGATGATGAATCTGCAGTGGACACAGAGGATGAGCTGCAGAGGTAAACAGGACAAATCATTTTGATTAAGCTGTTTGTAATGCTCATTCTTCGATAACTAATTCTTATTTGATTGTTAGGGTGCGCTAGTCTTATTTTGATTAATAATTTGAAATAGTTTTCTTTCGCACCAAGCCAGTTTTTCCCAGCGACTCCTGCTGTTTCCAGAGCATTTCATTGTCTTTTAGGTCACAATGAGCTGCAGTTTTACTATTTTCCTCCAGCATTACTGCCGTAATCAGCGTCGTTTTTGCAGACGTTGCAGTAAAAACATATGATGTAATGTAAAAACCCGCTTTATGCTACTTTTCCAGCACCATTCAGCAGATTAAATGAACTCCTAGCTTTCTGCAAAGACACTCTACTGAATAAATTAGGAGTCTATCTGCTCCCTCAAGATGTTTATGGGAGAAGACATAATATTCTTAACCAGAACGGCTCTTTAATAAACAGCTTTTGGGCACATTAGCCTTTAAAAGAGATACTGCTGTACTAAAGTAGCCTATAGTGTTGTCATGACTAAATCTATATTGACTTTATGACTATATTGCTGATGTTATATATAATATGTATATCTTACTTGTTACATTTAGTCCTAAATGCAGTTAAAACAACATTATATCCTTTTTAAAATTTCTCCATGGTCTTTAGCTGATCCGTTAGCGAGATTCCCTGGATTTCCTGAGCGAAAATAATGAAAAGATTCATTAAATGTGTAAAAAAGACAGCAGAGCTGTGGCCCCTGCTAGAACGTGGCCACACAATACCAAGAAAAAAAAACCATCTTTTGAGAGCAGGCTTGTTAAGATGTAGGATAAAGAGGTTTGTTCTTGTGAAAGGGTGGAAGAGGGGAGAAAACAGAAGAAAGTAGCAACAGAAGGAACGGTGGTGAAGGACGAGGATCCGTACGGGGGGTCGACGGATGAAAACACAGACGCTGAAGCTGAAGAGGATCATCCCATCCCCGAGCTCCCAGGTATGCATCGATTAGTTCCCATCCAGCTCCTGGCAGCTTGTGTTTTGCTTTCTTTATTTTTCCTCCTCTTTTCTTATAATTTTCCTACAGACTGTGTTCCACTCTTCTTGATCTTTTGCTTCCCACTTTGTCTTCTCTTCTAGATTTCCTAAGCGGAAAGCACTTTTTCCTCTACGGTAAATTCCCCAATAATGACAGACGACTGCTGTTACGATACATTGTTGCCTTTAATGGGTAAGAAAGACTTTCAGTGGTTATTCCCAATGGACAAAAAAAGACATAATCTGTGCAATTATAACTGTAATTTATGTCCTTATCTTTGCTGCAGAGTGATCGAGGACTATATGACAGAGAAGGTGCAGTTCGTGGTGACCAGTGAAGGGTGGCACGACTCCTTTGAAGACGTGAGTCGTACCGTCTTTTCTCTTTTTCTTTGAAAATAAGCAGCCACAACCAAATAAACATGTCTAACAGGGGCTTAAAAAGATTTCATATTCGGTGTACCCGTGTGTGGAAGCTTTTTATCTTTTACTCCCACAGTCAAGACAATTTTGTAAAGGAAATTGCTTCACTTAACTTTTTGTCAAGTGTTGCTTTATTATACAGTGTGCACAGCTAAAAATAAAAAAAGGGAAAGGAAACACCCTTTAAATGTTCCACTCCAAGCGTTATCAGCCCGGAGTTCTGAGGCCTTTTCATTTACGCAGTATACACCTACTATTTTGCAAGGTATAATCATATAAAAGCACTGAAGCAAACTGGGAAGCACTTTAGCATTCCCAGGACAAATTCAGCAGCAGTGGGGACTAGTACCTTTCAAGTGTAGGTTACTATGGTTTCCAGCCATTTGCGTGCCTTTTTAGCATTTGAATTTGCAGCTTAGGTACAGGTTGAAGGGTTTTAAAGGCTTTACACCTCAGCCTGACTGACCATTTGTAATGCAAGCACATGACGTGACTGCGCTTCTTGCTTTTGCTCTGACTTCCTCGCAGGCGCTGATGGAGAACACCAATCTGAATTTTGTCAAACCGGAATGGATTTATGCAATCAGTGCACGACAAAAGATGCTGCCCTATCAGCCCTACACCGTCGTCCCCTGAACTATACACTGTATGCAGCGTGCGGCCGCACTCTCACCCCTCATCCTGATGAAGGAGCAGCAGGGAAAGCCATAAACACATTTTCCGTTTCAGATAAACAGCTACACTTTCAAAGAGCAATAAGTCAACTGTTTGTTATTATCGATGCCTTTATATTGGACTTCATATTTGATATACATATAATTTCTCCACCTCAAGCAGTTCTCTCTGCAAATGTTTTCAACTTTCGGCCAAGCTCTGCAGACTGTCCACTACATAGTGTTTCTTTCTTGAGGTTATTGTTAGGATTAAGTATAGGTTTATTTTTAGATTGCGCTCTCGAGGGTCGTTAGCCCCAGCTTGGCCAGGAACCAATTTCATCATCTCCACCATCATCATCATCATCCATGTGCTGCTGAGTCTCTTGGGCTTTGTGAATGAAGCAGACACTCTGGCTCAGGACTTGTTTGAATTTCTCACTTCCTGTGCTGCAGTTTGTTGCTGCTCGCTTCGGCTACCTCAGGCACTGTCTGGAAATGAGTTATCACCCTGTCCTGACAGCCAGCAGCACTGATAATGCACCATTTGTGTAAGTGGGAAGACTATTATGAAAACGACCCAAAGTCAGGTGAAAGATGTCAGTTATGGAAGGTTACGGCCATGGGAAAAAAGAAGAAACTGAACATTTTTGTTCTTCGTTTTATTTGATTTATTTAAAAAAGGGATAACATTATTATAGGCTGAGGACATAAAACAGACATCAGTGTCGGCGTCCTTTTTAAGATTCTCATTAATTCAAGTGCAAGTGTCCAGCTTAACATCTCCTTTGCTGCTTGGCCAAAGTGGCTTGTTCAGTTCTCTGTCTCAAACTTCTTTCTCCTTGTAATACCTAATTATTTTGTCTAAATAAAAAAAAAAAGATTTTTAATTAAAAACTTTGCTCTCTTTTCTTTTTATTAATCAAACTGTCTCTGCACTGAGCTGCTCTCATTTCTTTCTCTGCCTTCACTTGTGTTTGCAGCTCGAGAGGCACTCTTCCTTTTCATTCCTTCTGTGATCTCTAGTCCTCTCTCCTCTCTAATTTACTTCTCCTCCTGTTTTGTGCCCTGGAGCCACTGGGTCTTCTGCTCTCTCAGTCAAGGGGATTAGAAAGATGCTATGTGCATGAGAGACAGGTGAAGGAGTGGTGGTTATAGGGAGAGACACTGCAGGAAAGATGAAAAGGTTTGGATTCTCAGCAAGGATGCGTTGTGTTTCTTTTCTTTTTTTTTTTTTTTAAAGTGGCCAACTATTGGATTGTCTTCTCGTACAGTTCTTGTCTAAGGTGGAGTCACACACATACTACCAAGTGTGAAGCATCGCAACTTTGTTGCAGGAACTTATTTGTTTCTTGTGAAAGAAAGAGTTGCAAGGTCAAATCCGTTCAGGTCTCGAAGCGGTGAAATTTACGGTAGCAAGTGGCGTCGACTGAATATTTGTCATATTTCACTGAAAGGCTGTCTGTGAGACAGCGAGAAGGATTGGCTGCTTTTAAACCTTCAAATTTGACAGGTGGACTTTGTTAAATAGCGGTTTCCACCTTACTCTTGTCACCTTGATTTCTTCCTGGCAAATTCATTCGTTCCCATGAGCATTTTTTATATCTCTTGTGAATCTTGGCAATGACTTTTCCTGACAAAAACTTTTCTCTCTGGCTCCCGAAATATTTTGTTTAACTCTGTAGACCTAGTCCTCTTTATCTGTGCCATGCAGTACTGGATTAAGGTGATGGATGTTTTCCCTCTAAATATTATAAATCCTCCATCTCTCTCTCTCTTGTTTGAATTAATTTTCTTAGATAACTGTTTAGCAATCTTACTATGGCACAATCATCTTTAAACCTATAGTACACAATAAGATTAATTCGCATACACACGAAACAAATTCACGAGTGGTCAACAGACTATCAACAACAGTGACAGAAAATGCATTTCTCATATATTAGATTTCACTCAATAGAAGGAAAAAAAGAAAAGATGTTGAAAAGCTCTTCCAGGGAGTTTGCTTGTCGATGAGTTAGCTGGGGTTTTGAACTGATAAAATATTAATTCCAGTTGTTTTAGTCAGAATTTTGGGATGGATTGTTAATTTGGAGGAAGTTGGTGTACAAAGTCCAAACGTACTGTTACTTTGTATTTCAACTTCTCGTTAGCACAGACATCTAATCAGGTCAGGATGAGCTGTCAGAGTTCAATCTGAATAAAGAATAAAAGTCATTTAGGTCAGTTTGCATGTGGCGTGGATTTTGGTGCCAAATAGGCCGATCTGGGTATTTCAGAGACGACCACATGACTATTTCTAGGCATTATAGGGTTTAAAGAAAATGTGCGGAAAAAGAGAAAATATGACTGTTTAACCTTCAACCCCACACTGGAAGCAACTCCCGTCAGCCTGCAAGAAACGGAGGCTACAATTTGCAAGGGCTCACCGAGAAACTAAAACAAAAAAATATTGCCTGGTCTGATGAATCCTAATTTCTGCTGCAACATTTGAATGGTTTCTGTCAAAAAATGTGAAAGCATGGATCCATCTTGCCTTGTGGATCCAGTTCATGCTGCTGGTGGTGTACTGGTGTGAGAGATGTTGTCTTGGCATACTTTAGGCCTCTTAGTACCAACAGAACATTAGTTGAACACCAAAGCCTACCTGAGTATTGCTGCTGACCACGTCCACCCCTTTATAACCACACTGTACCGATCTTCTGATGGCTGCTTCCAGCAGGGTCCAATGCCCCGATCATCCCACACTGGTTTCTTGAACATGAGTTCACTGTACTGAAATGGCCTCCACAGTCACCTGATTTCCAGCCGGTAGATCACCTTTGGCATGTGCCACAAACAAATCAGCAGCAAATGTATGATGCTATCATGTCAATATGGTCAATAAGTCTGTGACGAATGCTTCAAGCACCTTATTGAATCTC